CTCCCCAGCAGGATGATAAAGGGAGAAGAAGTCTGCTGCGGAGCAGGGCGAGCGGCCTAGCAGGAAACGAGAGGGGAAACTCCCACCGTCGTTGCATCTGGGCACAGCTGGAAGGTTTCATCTGTCACCATGGCTGTCACTTCTCCGAGCCGGGAAAGGGACCCAACACCTGCCTGCCTGAACACCCTCGTCACACGGCTGCCAAAGCCAGAGCTGGCTGCACGGGGCAAAGGAGAGCCCGGTTTTTCTTTTGCTTTGCGACGCGCTCCTACCGGACATCAGTGACTGCAGCGCGTGACAGCGGTCCATTTGTCTGCATGCATTTCCCCCCCAAACCTATGCCCTCCACCACGGCTCCTGCCCAGTCCCACTGGAACAAACTGGCAGCCTGGCCCCAGCGCTGAAGCCTACCTGACCACTTTCAGCTGGCGATTTCTACCTCCTCCAGTGCTGCACGTTCAGGTGCCTCGACTCACCAAAAGGAGCATCTGCCGAAGGAGGCACTGGTCATGTCTGCATGCAGCTGAACCAAACCCGGCAGCTGCATGAGGGGCACGTGCAGCTGCAGGCCGTGCATGGGCAAAGCTGGCAGGGATTTGCTTTCGAGTGGCCACGGAGTGGTGCTTGCAACGACAGACGTTGACTTGCTGTTTGCTCCAGACGTGGACTGGCGCAGGTAACACTTCGTGCCCTTCTGACTTGGCCTGAAACTGGGATGTGAAGTCCAGTGCTAAGAGTAGCAGCAGGAGCAGGCTCCATGCACCCAGCCCCGCCAGGACTAAATCCTCGCGCTGGGCATCCCGGCAGTCGTGCAAGGCCAGCTCCTTGGCTGATACAAATCCACATAGACCCATTTTGCCCGGAGCCCCTAAGGTTTGGTGAAGTGGTTGGGCAGATCACTTCCAACTCCCATGCCCAGGCCCAGTCCAAGGTGCCTCCCTCAGACTGGTTTTGCTGGAGGGAGGTGCCTGGCCGGCACCAGGGCCTGGTTAGCGACGGGGGCAGAACAGCCCAGGCTGCCACGGTCCGGCTGTCCCCAGGACGCATCTGCACCGCGACTTTGCCCGCACAGACGTGTTGGAAAAATTTGCAAGGAGAGCAGCAGCGTGGCTGTGCCAGCAGACCGGTCTGCACGGAGCGCCTGCCACTTCTCTGCAAAGGGGCCTGCCAGAGACGGGCCCGAGCCCCCGGCAGTTTCCATTCCGGCCCCTTGTACCGTCGTTCCCTGCACAGCTCCATCCTCAGCCACGTTCCCAGGCCCATTCCCACCGCGGGGTCACAGGCGGAGGCCCCACGCTCCGGTGCTGGGAACAACCTTGCTCTGCGAGCCCTGCTCCGGCCGTGCACACGACCGGCAGGCTTAATCCTCCCCCACCAGCAGCCTTGGCCCCAGGAAGATAAAGCTTCTGCCCTGTGAAGAAGAGCTGCCATTTGGACGAGGGGAAGAAAGCCTGCCCGGAGGGTGGACGCAGGCTTTCCACCTGGCACCTGCTCTGAGCCAGGCAGGCTCGTTTCCGCCTCTGCTCCGTGTTCAGCTGGGGAGATTGGTTTGCTTATTTTTTTTGACAGGCACAACAAATGTCATCGCAGCTCGGATACGTGTCTGCAGCCTCGGCGAGCCCTGCTTAAAAGGCTTCCCTTTCACCTCTGAAGCCTGAGGATCCTGCGTTAGATTATTTGCAAAAGGACCCTGCGTCTCGCAGGGCAATATTAGCGCTATCTGCAAATGTGACACTGTGTTACACAAACACGGTCTGACAGCGACAAGCGCGCGCGGGAGACAGCGCAGGGTGGATTTCACTGGGATAAAAGCAAACCCAAAAGGTGGGGGTGTCCAGATCCAGGCCCGGACACGGGACAGCCCAGGTTGCTCCGGGGGAGACGCAAGCAAAAGGCAGACCTGGGAAAGAACGGTACAAATGTCAGCGGGGAAACGGCCTCATCACACGCTGCTCTAAGGAACCTGAAACCACAAAATGATCCAAAACCATGGCTGCGCTGGAGGCGGATCGGCTACAGAGCAGCGGCGAAGGGCCGGGGTTAGGCACGGCACCGCCCAAGTTGATTCCAGCTGGAAAGGCGGCACCGTGTTTAGTGGCGAGTCTGAGACCGTGGGCTGACGGCCTGCCCGGTGCTCACCGGGTCAAGGACGGGCAGAAGCGCAGTCTCCATTCAAGCCCACAGAAGCTGGAAACCTGGAGCCGGCGGCGCCTGGGAGAGACCCAGCCCCGTCGGAGCCGCCTCCATAGCCGCCCTCAAGCACACAAAGAAAGGCTCAAAATGCTCCGAGTCCCAGACGCGGCCGGACAGAGCCGGGCTGGCGGGGAGGAGCCCTCGGTCATAAAATAGATGGTTGCGGCTGCGATCAGCCTGGCCGGCTTTGCAAGGCTGGCAGAGATACAAGCGCGCCGGGAAGGCCTCTGGAGACGGACGAGGGCTGCAGCCGTGGGGAGTCGCGCTGATCTGCAGTCTCTCAGCGCCGAGACCTAAACCGTCCCTTTCCCGGCAGCAAAGGTGCCGTCACGGTGTGCCACTCGTTCCCAGCATGGCTTCGCGCTCCGAGCGTGGCTTCCAGCGCCAGAAACCAACCACGAAGCACCTCGCCACCCGCCTCGGGTTCACGTCCCGCGGCTCGGGGAGAGGGGCTCCGAGGCGGGCCCGATCCTGCCCCTTTGCAGAGGTGCGGCGGAGGTGGCACGGCCCCACGTTGGCACCCGCTGTGCAGCGCTGCCAGGACCCTGCACAAAGGTGTCGGGAGAGATTCCTCGGCTGCGACCGACACGGGGGGCAAGCCCAGCACTTGCCGGGGGCACGGCCGGCGCCCCAGGGAGGCCGAGGCTTGCAGCGCCCTGCCCCACGTGGAGAGGAAGGCGGCTCTGGGCTGTCTGGAGACTTGCCATGCTCCCTGGAGTCTTCCTCCCTCGCGTGGCCAAGGCGGCAGAGCCCCCGGGCGGGCGCTGGAGCCCAAGGCGAGGCGCGGTCGGTGCTGCTCTTCGCCTCCTGAGCTCGCTAAACTCGTGACATGGCAGGAACTCGGGGGCCAGAGAGCAGCCCCGGCCCCCCCGCCTCCGAGAGCACGCGGCCGGCGCCTCACGCTCCCCACAAAGCGCCTCATCAATCATGTTCCCTCTAATTAACTTCTAATTTACCTCTTTAGTCAAATCTGTTTACAATCAGAGACAAGAAAACACGGCCTGGTGCGAGGTGCCAGAGCTCGGTCCCTCTCTCCCCGCACGCTCCGGCGCCTCCTGCCACGCGCCAGCCTCGCCCCCCAGCCTCGGCCCCCAGCCTGGCCCCAGCCCCCCGCCTCGTGCCTGCTGCCGCCTGCCCGCCCGGGTACAGCGGGAGCTGGGAGCCCCTCCAATCCCCTGGCAGAGGCAGCGGACCCACAAGCGCTGCCGGAGGAGCCGTGCCGTGGGCTACAGGCCTCCCCGCCAGTGCACCTCGCTCCCGTGAGATGCCCGCGTGGACATCCGCCGCGGTCAGTGCGGCAGAGGCTGGTCCCCACCCAGGCAGGGCCCGTCTCCCCCTCGGGTGGGGATCAGAGCCAGGAGACGCCCTCGCAGCCTCCCACCGGCCCGTGACGAGGGCCCTGCTTGGCCGCATCCTGCCAGCCCTTCTCCCGGAGCCCGCTGGGTTTTATCCTACCCGACAGGAACTGCTCCTGTTGGGACGCGCCTGGATGCAGCCCTGGGCTCGGGTGCAAACTCCCGCAGAGACCGAGAGCCTTGGGCAGCAGCACTCGCCGGGACTGACGGTTCCCTACGCATGCCCCGTGGCCCTCCACGGCCCAGCCCCGGGCCTCCCCTGCCACCCGCGGCCATGGCAGGGCTGGCTTTGCTGAGCCCCAAGCCTTTGGGATGAATGGGGCATGGCGCTCAGCAACCAGCACCTGCATGCTCGGCACCGGGGCAGCGAGCTCTCGGCGGTGCGGCTGAGCGCGGGTGCTGGAGCGAGCGAGCGAGCCTCAGCGATGCCAGTGCATTAATCCAAGTAACCTTCCCAATTAACAGGGGGCCCAGGCAGGCACCGAGCAGGGCCCTGCAACAGGCCCAGGAGGTAGGTCTCATCCTGCCCAGGGGGCCGCGCCACATGCCCACGCTGCCTCTGGCAGCCCCAAAACGCCCCGGGGAGGGGAGGGAAGGCGAGTCCCTGCCACGTCTGGCAGCTGAGGGGAGGGATTGCAGGTGGCAATTGCTTACTTCAACGTCTCGCTGCTCTTTCTTCTCCCCTTCGTGGTGCTTCATTTGCGCCCCTGGTCTCTGGTGCCGCTGCAGCTGCGCGAAGAAGGGACAAGTGGCCTCCCAGGTCTCGAACCCACGGCCCGGGCTGGCCGCTCGCGGAAAGGGAAGGATTCCAGGCCTGAGCCCAGACCCTCCCCGACGGGACGCAGGCAACGCACCCGAGACGCACGAGGGGAACGCATGTCTCCCCGGGCCCGCATGCCTAGTGGTGCTCGTCCACCCGGCCCAGCTCTGCTGTCAGAAGCCGTGATTGAAGGAAGCCTTTAAGCTTCCCTGACAATGCATTTTTCTCCGAGATAAAACACGAATGCTGTCGGCATGCAAATCTCTCCAAACGAGGCAGGGCTCATCTTGCCGACGCCGCGCCGCTTTGGGATGACGGGCAGCAGCGGCAGGGAAGAGCCAAGCAGGAACCTTTTCTGGCACTTCCCGCCAGCTGGCGGCCTCGGGAACGGCCGTGCCGGGGGAGGCCGGTGGAGGGCGCAGGCAGAGAGCGCGGAGCCCTGCCCGCCCGGGGGATTTGGTGCTGGTGGGCAGCCCCGCATTGCAGGCCAGGCCCCAAGTTATCCTGGAAAGGAAGCTGTTACTCGGCACCACCCTCCCTCTGCGGTGCCTGCAGTCATCGCCAGGCCGTCACGTGCCCCCGACGTAGCCAGAGCCGTAGCCCAGGCAGCCGGGGAAAGTGGAGGGATTAGGCTGCCCGGCCCAGTGCTTGCCACGGCAACCCTCCCTCCGCTGCAGAAAGCCACCAAGGAATACAAAAATTAACTTTAATATCTGAACCTCCCCAGCAAGGGCTGGCGTCCTATAAAAGTCACTTCCGGGCCGGCGGGCTGAGCAGGGGCACGGTGACACCGGCCGCGTCCTCCGGGCAGGATGCCGAGGCCGGGTCCGAGGCCCTCAGAAATTCTCCAGCAGGTCCAGGATCCGCTTCTGCTCGCTCTCCCGAAACTCCTGGTTCTTCCCGTCCCCGATGTTCTCCGCGTACTCTGAAGGGAGAAAACAGACCTGAGCCACGAGGACGGCCGACGAGCCCTTCCCGGGGCAGGGCCCCGCCACAGCCTGCACGGATCCCGCGGGGCTTGGAGAGTCCAGCTGCGCCCGCCTCGCTGGGGGATGCAAAGGGACACTGCTGCGCCTCCCTCCTCCCCGGCAGCACAACGGGTGTCGGCAGAGGTGCAGCTTGGGAGCCCCCCATGTTTCCTGGGGACAATCACCTGGGCCCCCCGACACGTACCGCTGTACCATCCCAGCAACGAGACCCCGGGCAGCCGCGGGGCCCGCCGGCAAGCACGGCACTGCCCAGGGAGCTCGGAGGCTGCGGGCCAGCCTGGCCCGCGGTGCACACAGCGCTGGTGCAGAGCGCAGGAGGGCTCAGCAAAGCCCCCTCCCACGTCACCCGCAGGCTGCCTACTCTACGGGCCTGGGTGGTGCGGGCTGTCTCCACTGGGTGCAGGGGTGGGGAACGGACGGCTCCCCGCCCCGGCAGCGCTGCCCGTAGGCTGGCCAGGGGCCAGCTTCTCCTGGTCCTCCCTCGGGCAGAGCCCTCGCCCCCGGATTCCCACTGGGGCACGGAGCCTGCCAGCCTAGACGCGGAGGCAGCTCTCGCTCCCTCCCAGCTCCACCGCCACAGGAAGCTGCACGTTCAAAAGAGCGTTAAAAAAACCCTGCTGAAAGGCACATCTGGGGCTGCAAACCAGGGACCTGAACAAATCTCCGGGAATCGGCAGCCGGCAGCCGGGGAAGGGAGCGCTCTCCAGCCCCCGCCTCCGCTCATCCTTCCCCTTCTCCATAAACAAACAGAGCGCCTGGCATTCAGGCGGCGCTGAATGGCAACGCGGCTGCAGGAAGTTTGCTTTAATATTGATGTGTTCAGCGCTGCTCCATGCTGCGGAGCCCCATCAAAGCCTTCATTGTAGGCACGCTGAAAAGGCTGGGGACAGGGAGAAGTTAGCTGCCGGGGGAGCCTCTCCTCCCGCGCGCGCTCTCTTCACACACACAAAGCGGGGAGCTCTTTGCCACGGCCTCTGGGAGGGAGGCTCTGAATATTTATAACCTGCTACAGTCCCCGTGGCAGGAGGTGGCGATGCAGCCAAGCCGGGGCGCAAGGCAGACAGGCAGGGGGCTGGAGCCCGTCTCCACTGCATGGCCCGGAGGGGAGGGACACGCCGCCCCGTTCTCAGCACTTCGCCCTGCAGGAGATGGAGTCTGGGTGTGGTGCGGGGTGGGACGGGGCGGAGGGGGGCATGCCAACAGGGAAGGGGTTTGCCCACACAGTCCTGCCAGCAGTTTTGGGCACTGCCTGTCACAGGGGTGGGTGCGGGGCATGGGCAGGGCACCTCGGGGAGCTGGGTCAAGCAGGGGCCTTGAAAGCAGCTGCAACAACGCAGCTGCCTCTGCTGACTTACAGCCCCAGGGTGACTTCTCCCCGGGCCGCTGCACCCTGGCAGTTCGAACCCTTGCGCGTGAGCAGGGCAGCACAGCGCCGGGGGCCCAGATCCTCCCTCTTCCAGCAGGAAGCTGGAGGCACTTCTCCACGAACGCTGGAGCCTCCGAGGAGGCCAGGGCTCGGCTGGGTTTTTTGCCTGAAGGACCGTTTGACCGTTCGTGGAGTTTGCCTCAAGCGGTGCAATGGTGACGGTGGTCGCCAGCAGCCGGGCCCCTCCGCGGCTTGGGAGAGACCCGTTGCATGGGAGCAGGTCACCCATCTCCCGGCTTTCGCCAGGAAGCGCCACGCTTTTCCTCTTCGGCATCGGTTCCACGAGACTAAGCTTTACAAGGACTGGCTGGCAACATGTTTACGAGGTTACCAGCAGCTGCTGACATTACGCTGAAAAGAGCAGACAGGAGTGCTAGACCTGAGCCTTTTTTCTTTCTTAATTACCCACTCAGAAGCCGCCTTGTGTTTACGGGGCTGCGGCGTCG